CCCAGGCAGGTGTGTGGGGAGAGGTGTGTGCTCATGGTGTGTGGGGAGAGGAGGAAAAGCTGCATTCACAGCCCATTAGTTGCTCTTTCTGCCAGAATCTCCCAGGGCAGGAAAAGGAATGGTCGGGGCACACCAAGGAAATTCTCATCTTCCACCCCTTGTTTAGCAGAGCCCCTGGCTGGGGCTACACTCATACCAAAACCAAGGGCAATGCTTTGGTGGGCTTCCTGACTGTTGCTCTAGCTCCCCAGTATGAATGCGGATGGTGGCTGACCTTCAGCCCCTGAGAGCTGAAACCTCCCAGGTAGGGTAACATCACCGACATCCACCCCTGCCCCAAAAGTGTCATCATGGAGCTCATAACTGTGGCCATGTGTCCCAGTCTCTGCACCAGACCTCCTCCTCTGATGGACTCCAGCTGTGACCATGGCATCCCAGTGTGGTTTCTGTATTAGATACATCTCTTGGGCTTACAGGATTTGTTGCTGTAGCTTGTGACACTGGAGTCTGACCCCGGAGGAGGTAAAAATAAACCTTCCTCCCATTTCTGGGTCTATACGATACAGGGATTGGAAATCATGGCAGTCCCTTCTCAGCTCTGAAATGAGCAACGTTTTGTAGGTTTAGAGAGCAGCAGCTGAGCATTAAGGACAGAATGTACTGCTGGAGAGCATGTTCTACCTCCTGCATCCAGGAGGTAGGAAGAGCCCAGGGTATTCCCTGACATCCTTGTCCCGCCAAACCTGGTCAGTGATGCTTAACCCATACTGCTGACCTAGCAGCAGCACCCTGATGACAGCAGACCATTCCTGGTTCACCAGGGATGTCAAAAGCTGAACAGGCCAGAGTGTGCTTCTTACTACTGCGCTTGAGGTCATCCCTAGGGGAGCACAGCCTGCCACCCCCCACGGGCTGTTTTGTACTGACTTTCACACTTTGCCCCGTGGTCTGGTCCAAGCTGTGTGGGATGCACAGGAGGCTTGGGAAGGTGGTATTTGTCTCCAGCACAGGAGGGGCTGTTACTTTTGCATGATGAGCTTTTGGGCTTTTGCATTCATGCATGCCTGGACCAGAGAAAATGGTTGCATGCTGCCCAGCCACTTGAGCTTTTCTCCTAAGCATGTCTATGTTCCTCTTCAAAGGAAGGCCCAGGATCCCCTATGTGCATCTGAAGAATGGTGTGGAAGGCTAAAGTTCACTGATGGCACAAAACTCATTCCTCAGAGGGGTGGATGAAGTGAGGAGAGGAGGTGATAGGATGGTCGATGTTATCTTTGGCCTTGTTTCCTGAGGTTCATGCTCAGCTCTAGGCAGTTCTCCATCAGGCCCTAGAAAGCTGTAGAAAGCCTTGAATCTGCATTTCATGATGCTAACAGCAGTAAATAGTTGGTTTAACCCGCTTCACAAGTCTGTGGGGTTTCCCTTGATAAGACTTGGCACTGTTTTGCTGAGGAGGGACAGGTCCCAAGGAGGCCACACCTGCAGCAGGGTGAGCTGAGGACACAGGGGCATCCAGGGGATCAAACGCAGAGCCGCAGAGGCAGTTCTCTCCTGAAGGCTTGGCAGCGCAGGCACTGGGGCAGGGGGGAGAGGGAAGCCAGGCCGAACTCCTGCCTGCAGGAGAGGTTATCTAAACACCTGCTGGACTCTGCAGGGCAGGATCCATCCTTCCCTTGCTCCCTGGGCTCCCTTCACTGCTGGTATCTCCACTCAGCATGCCCACAGCACTGAGACACCAAACCTGAGCCAAAAGCCCCTGTACCATGCAGAAGGGTTAACAGTCTGCTCACTCCCTCTCTGCTTCAGGGAGCTTTGTTCATTGGAGTATTAAATTCCACAGCTGTAAATAATCTGCAGCAGGAGCGATTATCAAGGCCTTGGGAAGAAGCAGCTTTTATTAATAAGATCAGCTCTCCCTGCAAAGCATCACGTAGTCGCTCTCCACCCTTTCCTCGCTGTCTCGCCAGGCATTGCTGAGGACATTGGCACAGGTTCCCCACCTCCATCCCGTGCCACCCATCCTCCCTTCATCTCGCTGGTGCTGATCGGCAAGTAGAGCTCTTCAGAGCGACTGGTGGTGTGGGCTAGAAATACTCCCCACTTCGCCTCAAATACAGCTGTGGCTTCACATGGCCGGGCTGCCTCTGGCTGAGGTGGGGAGGTGGTGGGACACGTCCTTGCTGTGACAGGAGCATGGTGCTGCTCACAGTCATGGCATGTGACAGCCAGGGAGCAGCCCTGAGGCCTCCTGGCAGCACCCCAGCACTTACCCTGAAGTAGAGAGTAGCATCAAGGCCCTCCATGTCTGCTTTGGTGGGAAGGAAGAAGATGCTCCTAAAGCAGACCTCTAAGAGGCTTTTCTTGTGGCCCTCCAGTGCCATCTCCACCTTGCTGAAAAGGGAGAGAGGGACCTGTCAGACCCTGGTGCTGGGAGCGCTGCCTCCTGCCTTGGGCAGCTGGGCACAGACCTCCGGAGCAGAGGTGCCCAGAAGGGACAGAGCCCTGGTGTGCAGAGAGCCCTGCCAGAAGGTGCCTCCTCCCTCCGTGACATGGCCCAGGCCAGAGGACAGCACTTGGGCAGGTCTGTGCCCTCCTCATGCCCTTGCACTCTCATGCTGATGCCTTCTCGGCTGTGCAGCCCAACATGGCTTCTCCCTGGGGGGGTGATGGCTCTGGGTGACCTGAGCTCCCTCCCCTCAGCCACGCTGACACCCGTGCTCAGGGAGTGGCATAGCTGAAGTCCTCCTGTCTTCCTCCCTTACCTGGAGTCAAGCCAGGTGAGAAAGTTCTCCATCTGCATCCTCAAAGACTTAATGCACATGGTGGTTTAGAAACACAAGCGGCAGATGCGGGCGTGGAGTAGCTGATCCCACTCGTGTTGCACACGAGTGATGAGACCGAGAGCGTGGCCATGGTACACATCCCAGACTTGAGCAGTGGTGCTGTGAAAGGTGTGCCCTCAGCAGGGCTCAGCAGCAGCCCATGGCCACCGAGGCCTGAACACCAGAGTCCCCAGAGGTTTCTGCAGGTGCTGGGGGCCAGGGCTTCGGGTCCCAAGCCCTGTCTGCAACCTCCCCAAATGCCTGTCCCCTTCTGCAGGCCTCTCAGGAAGCCCTGAAGTCCTCTCAGCCCACCTCATCACTGCAAAGCTGCTGAAATAGAAATGGGTCAAGCACCGCGTGCAGGCATGGGCCCTGGCCCTGGGCTCACCGCAGGAACCCGGCTGTTCGCCCTCGAACCGCTCCAAGACGCATGTTAGAAGAGGCTCTGCAGCAGCAGCAGTCCATGGGGAGCGGCGGCTGTGGGCGGCTGCTCCTCGCCGCTCTCCCAGCGCAGCTTGCTGAGGGTATCCTGGAGCTCAGCGTGGGCCTCACCGCTGCTCCAGGCTCCTCCCGCCAGCTCCTTGCCCAGCTGCTGGCACAGTCCAGTTTGGAAGTGCCCGTGGGCTGCCCGCTGCGGGAGCTGTGTGCCACGAGGCTCCACAATGGGCAGGGCCCTATGGACCCGCAGCTCAGGAGGGGCTGCAGATGGTGCCAGGCCCTGGCCTTGGCCTCGCCGCAGCCATCTGGCTGCTCGCCTTCGAACGGCTCCGAGTTGGACGTTAGGAAGAAGCTCCTCTGCAGCAGCAGCAGCAGCAGCTCGTTGGGAGTGGTGGCTGTGGGCGGCTGCTCCTTCCTGTTCTCCCAGCACAGCTTGCTGAGTTCGTTCCGGAGCTCAGCGCGGGCCTCGCTGCTGCTCCAGGCTCCTCTGGCCAGCTCCTTCGCCAGCTGCTGCTGCAGGCTCTGTGCCTGACGGGCGGCGGCGTGCTGGTGCTGCATTTCCCCTGCAGCTTGCACCGCTCTGCCTCCTTGGAGCGCAGCAGCTGGCAGATCTGCTCCTGCCGCTGGGTGAGCTCCCGCAGCCGCTGGAACTCCCATGCCTGCCTCTGCTCCCAGTTGGAGCGCAGCCGTTTGGCCAGGAGCCGCCGGTCCCTCTCTGCCACGTCCTGCCGGTCCCTCTCTGCCACAGCGGCCTGTGGCTGCCCTGCCCTTGAGCCTGCCCAGGTGCTGTTCCTCTCTGCGTCCCGCCATCCCTGACCCCCTAAACTTCTTAAACGCAGGACTTGGACAAGAAAACATCGGTCATCTAATGCCGTCTCCAGTGCGCGTACGGTTCTACTCATGGCTTTTTGAGTCCTCTTGACTAGTCTGGCTCTGAACATTAGGACACGTGCTGGGTATCTTGCCATAAGAAGACTCCATCTAACATGAGCAAAACGTGGAGCTCAGGGCACCCCAAGCAGACGAGTAAGTGAGGGGCCCTGCTGGGCTGGGGACAGCGACCACAGCCTGATGGGCTCAGGATCCTGCCCTGCCTCTCTGTTCTGGATGGCAGGTTGCAGGGAGCATGCCTCTGCTGCAGGCTCTTAGGGACGTGCCCTTCGTGACCCGCCGTAGTGCCCTTAGTGATGCGCCCTCCGTGACCCACCACGGTGCCCTTTGTGACGTGCCTTTGTGATGTGCCCTTGGTCACACGGCTTCACACCCTGTGCCATGTATCAGCATCACAGCCACATCCTTCGTGCCAGTGTCCGGCTGGACATGCACAGGGACACTGAGACAGGGGAGCGGGCGTGGGGCTGGACAGAGGGCAGAGCTCCCTCCTCTCCTTGCATTTGCCTTCGGCCCCTCTCTATAGACCTCCCTGCTCTCCTCCTCTCCTAGGTGCCTCCTCTGCTGCACTCGGCTGGATGCCTCTCTGCACAAAGGAGGAATCATCCATGGAGTTCATCCAGACTTTTGTGAAGAGCTCAGTCAAGGTAACTGCAGCCATTTCCAGGGCAGCAGTGCCTGCATCTCCTGCAGGGCCACTGGCTCTGCTGCCAGGCTGCTGGGGGCTGCTGGCTGGGCAGAGCTGCTCCCCCGGGTCTCCTGCACAGCACTGCAGCCCCAGAGCTCCAGTCCTGCTGGCCACGTGTGCCCCCCTCACGCTGCCTGTTCGTGTCTCTGCCCCTGGCTGCCCAGGAGGAGGCCCAGAAGATGCAGTTCCTGCAGACCATCTGCACCCTGTGCAAAGCTGCCAGATATGAGGGCTTCTCACAGGAGCTGAAGGAGTTCTACCACGAGTTCCAGGTGGCAGAGAAGATCCAGGTGAGGGGACACGTGGCTGCTTTGGTGAAGGGGGCAAGTCACCAGGCACCAGCACGCTGTGAGTACATGCAGGACCCATGCATGGGGAGGGCAAGGACCAGGGTGTGTAGACACTGAGCTGCCTGAGGGGCGGCGGGTGCTGCTGAGCAGCCCTGGCAGCAGGGCCGCTCTGGGGGCTGATGCTTGGCTGGGGACAGAGGGTCTCCTCCATCCCTGTTGCCTGGTGCTGGGTCTGTTGGCAGTGGGTGCTGGCAGCCGCCAGGCACCATCCTGGTTGTGCTCTGCAGGCACTGGTGGAAGAGGAGGCCACAGACCAGCTGCACGTGGCAGTGCGGCAGCAAGCCATACTTGCCATCGCCTGATTGAGGTACATGCCCAGCCCCTGGCTTGGCTGGCACTTCTGCACAGCCCATGGCCCTGAGCCTGGCTGAGGGCATCCCCCATCCAGGATAAGTCTGATGGTGCTGTCAGGGGGGCTGTGCTTTGCCTTGCTTGCAGTTTGTGGAGAGATGCAGGGGAGAGCAGAGGGGTCCTGCAGGCCCCCGCCACGTCTGGGCTGCTCCCGAAAGCAAGAGGTGAGAGGCTTTGCCTGCCAGGACTGTCCTCTGGCCTGGGCCGTGTCACGGAGGGAGGAGGCACCTTCTGGCAGGGCTCTCTGCACAACAGGGCTCCGTTCTTTCTGGGCACCTCTGCTCCAGAGGTCTGTGCCCAGCTGCCCAAGGCAGGAGGCAGCGCTCCCAGCACCAGGGTCTGACAGGTCCCTCTCTCCCTTTTCAGCAAGGTGGAGATGGCACTGGAGGGCCACAAGAAAAGCCTCTTAGAGGTCTGCTTTAGGAGCATCTTCTTCCTTCCCACCAAAGCAGACATGGAGGGCCTTGATGCTACTCTCTACTTCAGGGTAAGTGCTGGGGTGCTGCCAGAAGGCCTCAGGGCTGCTCCCTGGCTGCCACGTGCCATGACTGTGAGCCTGGCTGCTGCAGGACTGGCCTGGGCACCATGTGGTGGATGAGACACCCCTGCTGACATAGTGCTCTGGGCCTGCAGTGCTGCTCTGGCCATGCAGGATGTGCTGCTGTCCCAGCCCCACACTTTGGAGAAGGCCTTGACAGAGCTGGGCAGGAAGCTCCAGGACCAGCGGCTGCGCAGGACATGCAGCACCAGCACAGAGGAGGCCTGCATCGAGCACTTGGCTGTGAGTAACAAGAGCAGTCCTTGCTCACCCTCGGGGCTGTGCCTGCCTCTCCAGGAAAACAGGCACAGCCCTGTCCCCTGCTGTCTGCCCCGAAACAGCCACCTCCTCCAGGACATGGGGACACAGCCACTTAGGGCCATCCCAGCAATGGGTTCCCTGGCGCCAGCCACCCAGGGCCACACCATGCTGCTTGAGAGCAAGAGCGGAAAGCCCAGGCAGTCCCTGTCTGCCCAGGCAGTGCTCTGCTTGCCCCACCCGTGCTTCCCTTTGCCCTGCTCTGCAGACTCGAGACCTGGGGCAGGGCAAGGGCTGGGACAAGGGCAGAGACCCCTGTGGCCTCTGCGCAGACTGAGCGGGCTGCGAAGTTGGGCACAGGAGGCATCGTCGCTTCCTTTGTGCCAGCTCTTGCTCTTGGATGCCTCCTCAGAGGAGTGCGAGCAAAACGCTGCTGATGCTGAGAGCACACGCGGAGCTGGCACAGACAAATGTGTTTTGTGCAGTGAGTGGGAGAGGGAAGCCAGGCCGAACTCCTGCCTGCGGGAGAGGGTATCTAAACACCTGCTGGACTCTGCAGGGCAGGATCCATCCTTCCCTTGCTCCCTGGGCTCCCTTCACTGCTGGTATCTCCACTCAGCATGCCCACAGCACTGAGACACCAAACCTGAGCCAAAAGCCCCTGTACCATGCAGAAGGGTTAACAGTCTGCTCACTCCCTCTCTGCTTCAGGGAGCTTTGTTCATTGGAGTATTAAATTCCACAGCTGTAAATAATCTGCAGCAGGAGCGATTATCAAGGCCTTGGGAAGAAGCAGCTTTTATTAATAAGATCAGCTCTCCCTGCAAAGCATCACGTAGTCGCTCTCCACCCTTTCCTCGCTGTCTCGCCAGGCATTGCTGAGGACATTGGCACAGGTTCCCCACCTCCATCCCGTGCCACCCATCCTCCCTTCATCTCGCTGGTGCTGATCGGCAAGTAGAGCTCTTCAGAGCGACTGGTGGTGTGGGCTAGAAATACTCCCCACTTCGCCTCAAATACAGCTGTGGCTTCACATGGCCGGGCTGCCTCTGGCTGAGGTGGGGAGGTGGTGGGACACGTCCTTGCTGTGACAGGAGCATGGCGCTGCTCACTATCACCTGCCCCTGTGCCAGGCTGGAGGCTGCTCCTCCAGGGGTATGGCTGTGGGTAGCGCCTGGCTGTTTCTTTCCACATCTGCCCTGGGAGCAGAAAACAGACCTGGCGGGTTTTTGGAAGGAGACACTTTCCTGGTGATTTGGAACCACATGGTGTGATGTCTGGGAGCTTTTTTCCAGAGCATCAAGGAAACCTTGGGTGAAAGTGGGAGGATTGCAGCTACTCAGGTTGGAATAGGCTCTAGCTGGGAGGCCAGCCTGAGAGAGACTCCTTTTGATGGACACCAGGACTTGGCCCTCTGTCAAGCCTCCCAGTTGCTGTGGATCCTGCACTTCAGTGTGAGGACACATCTCCTTACCTAATTCCTTCCTTCTCAAACTCCACACCTACTTGCAAGTTGTTTCTCTTCCTCCTAGTACATCCCTGGCAGTGACAGATCCCCTTGGCCACCAGAGCTGACAGCATGGTAGGGTTTACAGCTCAACAAGAGCAACATCAGACCTAATGGTTGTTCCCACCTCCCGATGGCAACTGTGGCTGAGGTGGCTGCCCAGCAAGCTGCAATAAGCCACATGGTGCAGGGCTCTCCTGAGGTTTTAGCTTTCATGTCTGTCTGACATGAAGAGCCAACATGAGGTCCCTGTACCCCCAAACATCCATAATCAGCGCACAGACATCCTCCTCCTCCGCCAGGAGATAGATTGGTATTAGGAAGGAACAAATGCTCTGGCTCTGGGGGAGTGCCCCAGTTTGCACTGGATTTTCAGAGCACTGTAAGCACTACCCCATGGTGAGGCCTGTGAGAAGTGAGCACCAACTCATCCTATTGCCTCCCACTTTCTTTTCAAGGCTGTTGAACCCAGAGCTAACCCTGAGCAGACAGGTGGTGTCACTCACCCAGCCTACTCCTCCTCCCTGCATCCGCAAAGAAGCCTATGCCCCGCTGGCTACAGCATCGCTTTTAATTAAAATGGTTCTCCTGTGAAGTGCTGTCTGAATGTCTCCACTTCTCCCTGCTGGGCTCCAGCCAGAGGGAGGTGCTGGGGCAGAGTATCACATCAAAATCTCTCTGACTGCAGCCAGTTTAGAGAAACTGAAGTCAGAGCAGTGAAAGCAGCTCATAGCCACAGTGCCTTCCTGCCAATGGGCTCTACAGCAAGGGTGAGCTCTGCTCCAAGAAGGCCTAGGAATGAGAAATGGTCTCTTTCCCTTCAGAAGTGTGCAGAGCTGGGGATGCCCAGGGGAGGCTATGAATGTATCATAGAATGGTTTGGGTTAGAAAGGACCTCAAGATCATCCACTTCCAACTCCTTGCCATGGACAGGGACACCTTCCACTAGACCAGGTTGCTCCAAGCCCCGTTCAACCCGGCCCTGAACACTGCCGGGGATGTAGCATTCACAGATTCTCTGGACAACCTGTGCCAGTGCCTCACCACCCTCACACTGAAGAATTTCTTCCCAATGTCCGATCTAAATCTCCTCTCTCCCAGTTTAAAACCATTCCCCCTTGTCCTGTCACTACATGCCCTTGTAAAAAGTCCCTCTCCAGATTTCTTGTAAATGCTCTTTAGGTATGTGAAGACTGTTATAAGGTCCCTCCAGAGCCTTCTCTTCTCCGGGCTGAACAATCCCAAGTCTCTCAGCATGTCTTCAATTAGCAGAAGTGCTCTTGTGTGATTATACCTGCATGAGAACTAAGCTGGAGGCCATGCTCAGCACTTGGTGGGATTTGGATGTCTCTCTCCAAGGTCCCCACATGAGCTAGAGTGGGACATCCATTGGGGTTTATAAAATGGAGAGGAGAAGCAGGTAAGGTCCTACACCTGTGTCAGAGCAATCCCAGGCACAGCTACAGGTTGGACAAAGAAGAGATTCAGAGCAGCCCTGCGGAGGAGGACTTGGGGGTGTTGGTCAATGAGAAAATGAACGTGAGCAGGCTTCAGTGTGCACTTCCAGCCCAGAAAGCCAACCGTATCCTGGGCTGCATCCAAAGGAGCGTGACCAGCAGGTCGAAGGAGGTGATCCTGCCCCTCTACTCTGCTCTCATGAGACCTCACCTGGAGTATTGTGTAGAGTTCTGGTGTCCTCAACATAGAAAGGACATGGAACTGTTGGAGCAAGCCCAGAGGAGGCCACGAGGATGATCAGGGGACCAGAGCACCTCCCATATGAAGACAGGCTGAGAAAGTTGGGGCTGTTCAGCCTGGAGAAGAGAAGCTGCGTGGAGACCTCATAGCAGCCTTCCAGTATCTGAAGAGGGCCTACAGGGATGTTGGGGAGGAACTCTTCATTGGGGACTGTAGTGACAGGACAAGGGGTAACGGGTTAAAACTTAAACAGGGGAAGTTTAGATTGGATATAAGGAAGAAATTCTTTCCTATTAGGGTGGTGAGGCACTGGAATGAGTTGCCCATGGAGGTTGTGAATGCTCCATCCCTGGCAGTGTTCAAGACCAGGTTGGACAAAGCCTTGGGTGGCATGGTTTAGTGTGAGGTGTCCCTGCCCATGGCAGGGGGGCTGGAACTAGATGATCTTAAGGTCCTTTCCAACCATAACTACTCTATGATTCTATGATTCTAAGTGAGGGTATCCAAAGGCTCCCCTTTTGAATGGAGACAAGCTTTTTCATGAAGGTTCAAGGGCTTCACTGGGGTAACTGGGCAAGCACTTGGAGCAAGGGCTGCCTGCTTCAGGGTGGCTTGGTCTCAAAGTCCACTCAGCAAACACCTCCCCTTGCCCCCATTGTCTTAGCAGCTTTTCCAAAGGTGAGAGCAGACTTCAGCTGTCTCTGCAGGAGGGGATGCTGAGGGTCAGTAATTCCCCTGGGGCACCAGGCAGAGACATTTCTCCAGCTTCCCTGGGAAGGATGAGTGAAATCCCCATCCCCAGTTGCAGCTTGAGCTTCCCTGGGCTGCAGTCCTGCAGTGTTGTAGTTGCTGGTGGTTCGTCAGACCTCCTGCAGGGTCAGCTCTGAGCAATGGGAACAGCTGGGGTGTTTCAACTGTTGCAGAAGTGTGTCTCCCACCCTGACCTGTGTGCAACATGTGCCATACAGGCCTGCTCTGACCCTCACAGATGGGCACAGCAAATGGGCACCCCGTGGGGTTGGTGCGGTGCAGATGACTGGGTTTTGCTCCTGTGCAGTCCCTGCATAGACCCCAACCTTTGTGCTTTGGGAAGTGGAAATTCAGCCTTCTAGCAGGAGGTGAGCAAAGGCCTGTAAGGGCTGGGAGTGGAAAGGCTCTGCTGTGCAGTGGGAAGGACTCTCTGATGGGCTTGAAACCCATATGACTGTTTGTAGGGGCCTATCATCTGCTGAGGCATTCTAATAGCAGCCTCCTGCTGTCATGTGCTGCCCATAGATTGAGGGGTCTTGTGTCCTCACATGAGGCTGTGGCATCAGCTAGCAGTAAATTGAAATTCTTTTCCTCCTGGACATGCTGTGCTGAATCCATGGGCACTTATGGAAACTGCAGGGACACACATGTGCTTCTTTATTAAAGTACGGAGCATTTTATCCCTGGATGGCGGGTGGCAGGAGTCAGGCATCCTCTTGCTTGCCGACTTCTCCCCGCTCCGGCTAGCTAAGAGCGGGAAACCTTAGGCTCTGCTGAGAGCCAGCCGTGGCTATACCCTGCATGCCCAGCGCCACGCAGCCTTCCCGGGGGCTCGGTTCCCTTCCCGGTGCCGTCCGGCCCGCTCCCTGCCCGCGTCCCTGCAAGGCGGGCGGCCGCCACACGGTGTCAGGCGGGTGCCGGCATTCCCACCGAGCACCGCCTGCTCGCACCCGTGGGACCCGCCAGCCCAGTGGGCCTGGACAAGAAGCCTTGGAAAATGGGAAATCACTGCCCGCGTTTGCTGTAACCGGTACCCCGAGAGCTCCTTTCTATAGGGGAAAGGCGGCTTCTGCTCCTTTCCTCACGGCACGCAGGAACGGAACTAAGATTTCCAGGTGCTGTGTGAATTTTGCCTGGTCTTTCACAGAGAGGCAGGAGAGGAGGTGGTCTCCTGCTTGGAGCACCCCACGTGAGATGAGCTGTGCTGAGACTCAGCCTCTCGCTGCAGAATGCAGAGGAAAGCAGCCCTGCGAGGGGAACAAAGGGACTTAGGTAGTGAGAGTGACGCTTGCAAGCAGGGGGTGTTGGCAGACACAGCTGCCATTGCTTGGGGAAGAAAGCATCTGGCAGGGCTCACCGGGGTGGGGATCCCCAGCAGGATGAGGGGATCAGGAGGTTCCTGCTGCTCAGTGTGCCTTGGAACCAGGGCAGGCACAAGCTGGACCTTGAATCAAGTTCAGCTGCGCCTCTCCCAGATCTCTGCTTTGTGGCTGCTCTGGGTGTGTGTGTGTGAACCCATTTTTCCCACTGCATTTTCATGGCGGAGGCGGGGGAGCTGGTGCAGGGAGAGGGCAGGCTGGGGAGGATGCACCAGTGAGTGACATGTGATGCCGGAGCGAGCAGTGGCCCAGCCTCGCTCAGGTGCAGCTCTCCGTGCCGTGCCTCACGTACAGAGACGCTGTCTATCCTCCAGCTATTTACCGCCAGCTCATTTTGCAAACGCTGCACTCACTAGAGTTTTTTTCTCCCTTCTCTCCCTCCCTCCCTCTCTCTTCCCTGTATTGATGCTCAGACAGTGCTCCCCATTCAGCTTCGAGCACGAAGTCTCCCACCTGCATTGCACACGCTGACCTGCCTGCAGGTTGTTCTATTGGGATGGTGCAAATTCACACCCTTGCCCTCCTCCTGCTTCCCTGGGGCTTTATTGCTGGCAGGGGGAGCTCTGGTGAACAAAGAGGGAGGCTGGTGTGAGCTGAGATGCTGCCGGGGGGAGACTCAGCCAGGGAGCCCACTGCTCCTGCTCTCCTACTTGTGAGCCCAGAGGTCTGGCCTGGGCTGCCCTGCAGGGCTGCTTGCTTCCCCCTGGGATGTGGGGTTGCCATCTTGGCTGACAGGGATAACCTTCCCTAGCAAGGAGAGGGAAGGAAGGAAGAAAAGGGAGGGCATGGAGAATTGGGAGGGTCCCCT